TAAATAATTAGATGTGTGATTTTGATGTTGTGATGTAAGTTGGTGAGATCGAAGAAAATAAGCAAAAGTTGACAAATTTGGAGAAATGGCTAAATTGTAAGGGATCCAAAGTTCGGGGACTAAAATGTAAATACTTAAAAGTTGTGCTGAACCTCACGATGAAGATTTGAGAGTACTCGGAGTTAATTGGATAAAGGAATACGTCAATGAAATCAAATTTAGTTAAAAGATGATCACAAATCAGTTTCCAACCGAAAAGTTATGCTCCGATGTTTTAGTCTCATATTGAGACCTATTTTTGGCATAGAAAGTGACCGAATTGGAGAATGATGTCTGAATCAAAGTTGTAGCCAGATATGTTAGCTTTCCAACGCATTTTGAATCGCCTCAATCGGATATCGGAATACAAAGTTATGATAAAAACACTGAAAGAAGGTGCAGCTGCCTGTTTAAAATAAGAAATTCCGTTACATAATCCGTTAAAACAACAAATTCCGTTAGTTTTTCCGTTAAAAACAAGAAATTCCGTTACATAGCCACTTTTAATATATTGAAGATATATATATGCCCATGTTTAGAAATTCAAATTCAAATTTTAATATAAGTCAAAATCAACAATTAATTTTAACTACATTTTATGTGATTGATAACTTTTCAACCATATATTTTATCAACTTTTATCAAAATTTACTAAAAAATTGATTTTAACCACTTACCAATCAGGGGCTAACTAGCATCAATTACATACTAGGCAAGCGCTTGCAAAGTTTTTTTTTTTTTTTTAATTCCCCAAAGGAAAACACCAAATAAAAAGACAATAAAGGTACAGGACAACAACTGGTCTTAAAAGACCAAAACTTATTTCCACTTGATTTGATTGAAGTCCCTTCTAGCAACTACCAAATGCACATCTGACTACATCAAATGGAGAACTTTTCATTTCACAAAATTGATGACTAAAAAATTTGTTTTCCTTCTGGACAGCAATAAATATAGTACAATGAACCTTGTACAATAATGACAGAAAAGCACCTTCATCCAGTTTATATCTGCTCATTTAGCATGGACATTTCCCTTCCATGAATGCACCGTTAGATGTATAGTTACTGTAGAGAAAGAGCAGAGCAATGGCATGTCGGTTATTTGATGATGATTTGCAGGTTACAATATAAGGCATTCAAGATAGGGCAATCAGACAAAACGATTTTCAGCTCAATGTCCAGCATAAGAATTCCCCTTCGAGATTAATCGGTTTAACCAATTTGACAGTTCGCTACCGCTATGTGAAATAAGATATGCAATAAATGCTACATAAACTGCTGTTCCAGCACAAATGAGAAAACCAAAAAGCAGTCCATTAACTTCAGACAGAAAAAAGTCGAGCAAAAGATATCCATTAATCACTATCACGAGGCCAGCTACTGTCCAAGCAGTTCTCTGCATTACAGATTAACAGAAGTATGAGAACACAGCATTGATAGATCCTTGTTTATGCCCTCAAAAATAGAAGATATCGATCTGTTTCTCTCACTCAAAATCCCTAGATTCCCTACAAGTCATATCCAGCAAATCATAATAAGATGCAACTGGATTTTAATGGTATGCTATTAGCTAATACTTTTAGCGAAAACAGATAAAGATGATCTCACGTGCAGAGCTTATCCAGCCAAGACAAAAAATTTGAACAGGAGAACCAAGTGAAATTAACTCGTAAACTCGCTCGGAAATATAAAGTGTATGGCATAGACAAAAAGGTGACCAATGTGGGAATAGAATTTCATGTGGATAGAGTAGTCATTTAGCCAATATATTATGCCAGGAAGAAAAGAATTGATGAGAATTATCTGTGTTTGTAATTCTTAGTGTCTTTTAGAATCACAAAAATACGAAAAAAAGACATTTTGTTTAGGCAGGCAACAAGAAAGAACCAGTATATTATTATCAAAGTAAATCCTAAATGATTTGCATGCAATCAGTAAATAACTTGCTATAAAAGAAATTGTTCGCTCTCTCAGTTGTAAAAATAAATTATGTTATGTAAATATTTCTCTATAACTAAATGAAACAGAATACTTAACTAAGAGTAGCCTGAATCTGCTTGAAGAAATGTCTTGTGAGAATTACTTTTAGAACCCTACACTAACCTTCATACTAATAGATTTTGGGGATAAAAAGTCATGCATTGTAGACAAATTTAATTCTTACATAGAATACATCATCTTCATAAACACAATTTTCAAAGCATTGGTTTGCACTAGAATTTAATAACAGTGGAATTGTTGATCACCTCAAGTGCAGGTCCAATTTTGAAGACTCCCATGACCTGCTCCTTCGACACCAAGGTGAGAAGTGGGATCAGTGCAAAAGGTATCTGCATAGACTGTAGGACATTGAGCCATTCATTCAATATATCTAAGGATGCTTCTGATTTGTTGAAAACGAGTGCCACAATTATAGTTGGTACTATTGCACAACTTCGAGTTATTAGTGCCCTCAAAGATTTCTTTAAACGAAGGTTAAGAAATCCTCCCATTATAAACTGCCCAGCATATGTGCCAGTAATTGTACTACTCTGCCCAGCTGCCAATAATCCAATACCCCATATGTAGAGAATTGGAAACAGTCCACCACCATACTAAAGAACTTCTATGACAGGACGTAACACTAAGCCTATACTATCTGCCTGTTTACTGCCATAGAACCCTTTAGCAAAGACAGTTGTGACAAATAGATTGATCATGAAGGAGACAAGAAGAGCAACTGAGGACTCGATTGCGTAATAATTAATGGCCTCCTGGACCTGGCCTTTCTTGTCAGGGTCAATCTTTCTTGACTGCACCAAAGCAGAATGTAGAAAAACATTATGAGGCATTATTACACAACCCACAACTCCCACAGCTTGTCGAATTGTTCTTGAGCTGAGCTTTGGAACCAAGAGACCTGTTAATATTACCTGTTAATATTACAAACAGACATGATCGATAATCCATAAACATACAGATGCCATTTTTTATTTTAATTTTTCTTCCGGTTCCTCATTTATTTCCATCTATCCTCTAGTTGGGGAGGGGAAAAGGTTATATATAGGTAATATATCCAATCATTTTCTTTTCAAGTGTTCAGCATACACTAACCTATCAGAAGCTCCTTTCCACTGGGTTTAGTGTCAGCAAACATCCAAGCAAATGAAAGTGCCATTGTTGCAATAAGAACTGCGAAAACAGCTTCCAATTTCCTCACTCCATAGTTTTCAAGAAGTAAAAACATAAAACTGTATAACAAGTTAACAAAACCAACTTCAGTAATCAAATTGAAACTCCTATTAATTAAAATGCATACAGTTACACATTCACAATGTCGCACATGCACAACACAGAGTATAATAATAAAGCTCCTTTGGTTCATGGGATAAGGGGAGATTAATAATGAATCCTACATTATGTTGTATTTTCAATTGTTTATATGGATCAGTAAAGTAGGATTGTCTTTCAGAAATATAGTGATTAGACAATCCTAAGGGATTCTGGGATAGTTTATTGAGCAATTGGGATAAGCTGTAAGATGTAGCTTACTTTGTATGTCGTCCTTTACCTCTCTTCCTCCCTCCCCTCTCAACCTGCATGTCTACCTACACAATCCCCTTCCTACTCATCGCATCACCGCCACCCTCTTGCCCATCTTCAGCCTTCAAATTCACCATCATCCACCACTCACTTTTCAATTTTCATCACCACCGGCTCCCATCCTGTCATCATCAACACAACTCTTGGTAATCCTTCTCCACCCTCCTCAAAACCCAGCCCCAAATCTCTGATATATAGCCCCAGCCTACGACTTTCCTAACCACGCCCCTTCAAAACAACTCAAATCGAGCGCTCGTCTCGAACCAATAACAAGATTGTCTTGGTTTAAGAAAGAGCAGAGAGGCTGGTGGTGTTGCGTCAGTTCCTTTTTAGATGAGTCTGTGCAAGTCTAGACCCTTGTCCATTGCTTTATTTCAATTTTCAACTTTTGGGTAAGAAGTGGATAAATGTGTTAGAGAGAAGATAAAATTTTGCCATTTTCAACCCCATGATTAACTTTAAAAAATAAAAAATAAGATTGATTGAAAAAGATAACCAAGACAATAGTGCTTCATTATCAATCCAAAGATGATTGGCTTATCATGGAACATGAATAAATATGACATGAGTGGTTTCTGAGTATGATGACAACCAAATTCAATCACAGAAGAAAGTTCACTTTCAGATACATGGAAAAAGCAATCTTTTTCTCACGCAACTAGCAGTACGTGACATAAATATAGCAACTTCCACAACAAAAAGTGCCTCTAATGCCAAACTAATATCATCTTCCACCAACAAGTAAAGGTACCAAATTTCACCACAAGAAATATTTATACTACAAAATTAATGTTGGCTTCCACCAAAATAAAAAGTACAGCTCAGAATGACACGCAGAGTGTAACTCACTAACAAATGGCACTTTAACAAAAACTTAATAATCGGAAATATAACTAAAATGCACCCAGCAACAAACGGGAAATTTTGGGACCAAGAGAAGAAAAACCAGGTTTTGGAATTATATGAACTGACATAGGACTACCTCAGTTCCCAGAATTTCCAGATATGTATGTCAAGAAAAACTATGATTAAAATGAACTTTATCAATCTCTGTTTTTCTAATTAGTTCCAGATGAAAAAACTATAGACTATAGTCCTGGTAGTATTTTTTCCCTTTATTTTCAACATTTCTCACTACAAAATGAAAAGAAAATTGAAAAATAACATACCAATCAGAAGCCGTAATCAAGACACCAGCCCAAAGGGGGATCACCCCACGGCTCAAAATCTTAATAGCAATGGCACTGCCAATCACCTCCTGAATATCCGCCCCAATCAAAGCCAGCTCCGCCATGAACCAAAGCAAAAGCCGGGCCCAATCAGGGTACTCCTCCCGGCACAGCTCCGACAAGTGCCGGCCGGTTGCCACACCCACCCTCACAGATAGAAGCTGGATCAACAGACCCATAACCGTTGCCCACATCAATAACCAGAGTAACGAATAGCCGGCAATTGCTCCGGCCTGCAGATCCCCCTCCAAATTACCAGGATCCAAGAACGCAATACTCATCAAAAACCCAGGACCCGTAAATAACCACAATTTCTTAAACGAAAACGGTGGCACACTGCTAAAATCTGTGGAGCTAGTGGAATCCAATTCAAAATCAAGAATTAAAATCTTTTCCCGGGATTCATACGCAGCTTCTTCTACATCTTCTTGTTCGATTTTTTCATTATTGTCAGTTGACCGGAGTTGTGAGGGTAATAGACTGTGAGATTCATCTACTTGTTCCGGTTCTTTTTCTTCTAGTACTGGGACATTGGAGGAGTTGGAGGGTGTAAGGTCCTGTTCTTGAGGTGGGTTCACTGTATAATTCGAATTTCCATTCCCTTTTCCCATGAGATGAGGTGTAGGTTGGGGAAGGGAGGTGCGCGGCGGATGGTGGTGACAATAGGCCAAGTCGCCGGTGGAGAATCGAGCAACCGGCGGGATGCGAGAATTTATAGATTAGTTATACGGGAGAAAGAAGAGGAAATTAGTTGAGATAGACTTATCAAACTAAGCATTGTGAAAATAGACCCCAAAAATAATTCTTTGAAAAATAACCTTTGACCAATAGTTTTTTTTCAAAAATATCCTCTTTCATAGGATTTGCAAACAAAGCCACTATAAAAATATAGAAACTTCAATCAAGTGCCCAAAAATTTATGAACCTAGAATCTTTGATAGATTTAATTCTAGATATTATTTAATATATTTCATTAATTATCCTTTAATTATAAATGAGGAAACCTGAATTCCATAAGATTTGGAATCAGTTACGGATCCAGCACCCGGCGAGGGGGAGCTGCCGCCCGTGCTGGATCAGTCGAAATTTACAGGCGCAGCTCAGTTGCTGTCACAGTAAACTTGCAGGGAAGCAAAACGGGGAAGAAGAAGATGGTGTTCTTGGGCCATGTTTGTATATTTTCTTTAGTTGGGCTTTAAAAAAAAAAAGGGCACATTATGAAGTGTAAAGCAAACAAAATTTAATAGCCCATTATCTCATAAACCATATCAATTATCATATTCATACGATTCATTTCACATTTCAAAAAAAAAAAAAACCTGATCATT